GGTAAATATAAACTATTTATATTTAACATCATAAATAGTAAATAACATCTAGTGATGCATCATACTTTTCAAATTTTAAAAATGTCATTAAACTGTTATAACCTATTTATATGATAATATATATATACACTATATGCTTAGTTTCTTTGTCCATATACTTAATTGAATACAATGCATGGAACATGTTTTGTGTAGAGTCTAATTTTGTTTCTTGATACTCAAGCAATTTTTTTCACATTTATTTTATCAAACATAGCTATATATTTTATAACTTGACTCTATGAAGAGACTTTATAAATATTACTCATATTACTTAAGAAGGATAAATTTCATCTAGATCACTCATTTCTCTACATGATTTATTCTATGTCTAACTTTTCAACTTTATTATCTCACTTTATTACAAGTGATGTAACATCTTTATTTTTCATTATATTCTTATTAAATAGTAATTATATTATTTTGAATTGAGGAATTGAAATTGAGAATGAATAGGATTTAGGATTTGATAGACAAACAATAAAAAAACTAAAAAAAAATTAGGCTTACTTAAGATGAAATTGTGAAATGAGATTAAGGTGTGTTCTAGTAATGGATGGGACATGTTTTTCTAAATTGATTTGGTTTAATTCTTATACACTAAAAGAAAGATACATAAGAACTATATTTAGTTATTAGAAGATAAAAATATGAATTTAGCAATAAGTTATAAAACTAGCCAAAATGGTCAAGGATTCAATTCAAATAAGCCTTAAAAAGTTAGCCATTTGTTTTATAAGATGATGATGTCTTGGAAGCATAGAATTTTTAACATATTGACAAGTATGAAACCATGTGGGATATGCCAAAAGGAGGCCCCAAACCCCAAAAATTGCACGAAAGTCTTGACTTAGAGGCTTGCTTTTCATGTGAAATTTGCCTAAGAAGAAGGAAACTTTTGCATCAATTAAAAGACCAAGTCTTGGATCCAATTATATGACTAAATGGAGTGAAAAGATAAGTCAAAGAACTATGATTTATGAAGAAAGCATAGATGAAATTAAGGAGTAATAAGGTAAGAGTGCTAGTCATCCAAAATTCCACATGAAATGATGAAGCATTTTGACTATACTGAAGGTCTAGTTTCTTGTCAAAAGGAAGAGTGGAACCATGAGTGATACCCCTAAAAATGGACTTTTAAGTGCAACTAAATGAGGAAAAGAGAATTAGAATGAGATCTATGAAATTAAGACCCAATTGTATGAGAAATCAAGTACTATTAGCATTAAATGAAAGCATTAAAAGTTTAGAATTTTGTGGCCAAAGGAACCATGCAAGATATACACTAAATGGACCACCAATTGAAGCAACAACATTTGGCATAACATAGTACTACTTAGTCATATAGAAATCAAGCAAAGTCACCCAAGAGCTAAGTAAGGAAAAAATAAAATACACAGAGCCAAAATCAATGTGAATTTAAGAGTCCAGGGGGAACAAGTTCTATTGTTTGTCAAAAATAATTGAACCATTACTTCTTTTTCTCACAAATTCATGTTTCACATACTTAATATGAACTCCACAAGGTCAACCCTTGTCCTATCAGACACCTTAGACCCCACTTAATTGCTTAAGTAAGCATAAGATACTCCACCTAAATTAAGAGGCAATTACCTACATCTCAAGGAGATATTGTGCATGTAGAGTTAATGGGTTAAAGGAAGGTTGAGAAAGATTTAAAAGAGGAAAGGTAGACACATGAAAAAAAGGAAACAAATCATCTAAGTTGATATTCAAGAACTGACTCAAAAGAAACAGGTAAGGAAGGAGAGTATTTGTTCATAATCTAAGGAGATATTAGTACTATTTTGTATCAAAAGAAGTCTTTAACCTTTTGTTTTAATGATAAATTTTATAGTCAAGTCCTATACGAGATAAATAATTCATTAAAAAAATTAAGAAAATAATCTAAAACAGTAAAAACAAAAATTTTGTAGTAAAACTTTCATAAAATTGTAAATGGATGATTTGAATGGATTTCTTTGTAAAGTTACTATGTTACATGACATATTTATAATATTTTGATATTATATGTGAATTTATGCTTTAGAATCCTTTATACTAATAAATAGAGATTTTTTACAATTTTATATGTTACTTTGTAATTAGATTTAATTATGTTTATTATTTTTGCCTTGATAAGTATGACAATAGTCAAAGTTATAGCATAAAAATTTGTTTTATACTAAATATAACATGTACATGGTTATAATAATATGGATTTTATTTTTTTGAATTTATATAGTTTTAATTCTTGCACTTAATCAAGTTTTCATATATATATATATAAACTTTGCAGTTTTTAAAAAATAAAGACATTTTAATGTTATTTTTTTTATCTCTAAGATTTTTCTTTAAATCACAAAATTATGCCTAGGATATGAAAAATTTGTATTTCAGTTCTTGACTTGAAAAATGATTTTTAGAAATAAATTGTATAAATAAGTAAATTTTTGGAATTTACTAAACAAGTCATTGAATAAAAATAACTAAAATCAAGTAAATCATTTAAATTAATTTTTGAAACTTTATTCATGCTATATGGACATAATTAAGACATAAGAAAATTTGTGGAAAAATAAGCAAAAATTGAAAAAATGGATCAAATAATAAGAAAATACTACACTTTTACTTTTAAAATAAATTCTAAAAGTATAAGAATCTAACTAAAAGAGTAGTAAGACCAAATAACTGTATTTTTTGTTATATGTACAGGTGAGTGTCATAAGATTATTGAAGAAAATGCGAAACATAGCTAAAATTAATAAATTTTTAAAATGGAGAGCATTTTTGTAAAGTAATAAAGTTTAAGGGACTATAAATTTTGTAAGTTGTATGGATTATTTTAGTAGTAATTCTAATTAGTTTTACTGAATTTGAATTTAAAATAAATTAAATGTGAATTATTTACTAAACAAGTTAGAAAATGGTATTTTGTGACTTAATTGTTAAAAACTAGAATTTGTATTATAGTTTATGGGTGATTAATTTATGCTTGTAATTTAATAAATTACGAATTTTGAAACTGGAAATAATTTTATGCTTGTAAATTAATTTCACTAATTTCATAATTTTTAAACTAAAAATGAATAAGTTATGAATTTTTCAATGTATGACATGTGAGTTGAAATTTGATTATGAGAAGATTATGCATTGAGTGAATGTGTCCCTTGTAATTTGATTTATGGATTGTGATTAGAATGTGTTATTAATATGGTGGAATGATTGTGAACTAGTTATAGTACAAAGTGGTTGAATAATTTAGGTATAAGAATGGAGCAAAAAGTGATTGGTTAAGTTATTACTAATGAAGATAGTATAGTACCAAATTTTTTATATGAAACAAGGTCTAGCTAACTTGTGTTGCAGGGAGGGAAACAATGGTAAACTATCCTAACTAGCACTCGAGCATCTTATGATTAGTTGAAGTGACCATTATTGTTGAGATAAACCATGCTCTATAAAATGTGGTCCGAGTGGGGAATAATGTACCTTATGACACTATCTAGATTACAAGTACAAAACTATCAATCGTCCAATTATAAAATTAAAAAAATTAATAATTAATTGGTTCATGGAGAAAAGATAACTAGGAGAAAGATATGAGAAAACTTTTATTTGTTGATATTAGTTCTATTTACTATTTTTATATTCATTAGTATCGTGTATATGCCTTATGAAATAAATTATGAGTGAATTGTAACCCAGCATAGCAGTGCTTAGTTTTCTCACTCACACACTTCCTGGAAACTTCCCAGAAGGCATTTTGTTGGTATAGGTAGTCCTAATCAATTCCTTTAAGTAATTCTCAACTGTATACACAGTCTCTAGATCCCTCTCATTCTAATGTAAGTTTGATTTATTCATGTGTCCCTTACCATTGGAAGCTTGCCAAGAGCCGCTCCTTGTTTGTGCTATAATGCACTGGCGATCACTCCCTACCCTCACACCTATGGTTTGGATGTCACATATCCACCAACTTCCGCTTGGTTCGTCCTCGAACCACACCATACTGGGAGAGATTTTTTAGCGTGCTTTGTCCTGACTCACACACTTCCCGGAAACTTCCCAGAAGGACACCCATCCCATAATTTCTCCAAGTTAAGCACGCTTAACTTTTGAGTTTTTAAGTGATAGGCCACCGAGAAAAGTAAATGCATTTTGTTGGTATAGGTAGTCCTAATCAATTCCTTTAAGCAATCCTCAACTATATACACAATCTCTGGATCCCTCTCATTCCGGTGTAAATTTGATTCATGTGTCCCTTACCATCAGAAGCCTGACAGGAGCCGCTCCTTGTCCATGCTACAATACACCGACGATCACTCGCCGCCCTCGTCTAGCTCCTGGATGTCACAAAGGGCATGAATATTCAATATGTAACAATGAATAATAAATATTCAAGCTATACAATTCAAGGTTATCTTAATTGTTGAGAAATCATATCTTATCAAGAATAATTTCTTTTTCTGTGATTGTCTACTAATTTGTTTGTCTTACTTTTTCTTCTTTTTTTTTTTGTATCTTTTGCTCTTGTCTTTAACTTTTAACTACTTCATCCATATTATTAGTGCATAACTTAGTTTCTCAATTTAAAGAACAAGTCAACTTATGAGATCAACTTAAAGAACAAGTCAACTAATAAGATCAAATTTGTTATCATAAGCTTGCTAGCTTCTTTCTTATGAAATCAGGCATATTTATAAAATTAATTACATATATTTATTTAATTATAAAATCAAAGCTATTTTAGTGAATATGAATGAACGAGATATTATTAATTTATTTGAATTTAAAAGATAATATTATCCTCAAAGCTTTATCTTTTTAGTTTTCTCTCAAAATAATTCAACAAAAATATTGTTAGAATTTTAGTGATGACATCTATTTTGAGTTTGTTTGACAATTATTAAAATGGTTGATAAATGTAAATGATAAATAAAAGCACTACTAAAAAAGTGCTATTTACAGACGGATATTACATTTAACTGAGAAAGAGGCAAACAAATCAAGTCTACCTCAAACTCCCTACCATGCACCATGATTGCGCATCCCAAGCATACCCACGACGTCACAACCAGTTTACCCGTAGGGGTAGTCACTATGACGTTACACGACAATTCAGTCACATACAAATTTAGACTCTTCACACAATCCGCAGAAATAAAGGAGTGCGTAGCACCCGAGTCAAACAACACATCCAACAATCGACCCTTAATAGTGCATTTACTCCAGATCAGCTCCTCAGACCGTGATGCCTCCGCTCCACTCATAGCAAAGACTCTTCCTGGTATGCTCGGCTTCGGCCCAGTGCTCGGCCCAGTACTCCCACTAGATTCAGGTCTCTGAGCTGAGCTCGTACTGCCGCTTCTCTTTAGGGACCAACACACATTGGCAATGTGTCCCAACTTCCCACAATTTCTGCAGTTTGTTCTTGGATGTGGACAATCCCTCAGCATGTGTGGCCTTCCACACCGAAAACATTTAATCTGCCCTCTGAAAGAGCTAGTACCAAAACCACTCCCACTGCTACTCTTCTCTTGGGATGAACTTCCTCTAGAGTGAGACTTGCTTGAGCCTGAATATGGTCCCTTCGAAAATCTAGGGGGTCTTCTATCATGCCTCATTGGACCACTCCTTCTAGTGTCCACGGTTTTGCCTTCTGAGTTGGCCTAAAAAATTCTGCTCTTACTCACCAGGGTAGGTAAGTCTGTCAACTAAAATACACTGACTGCAACTTTAATGTCTGGCCTCAATCTATGCTCAAACAGAGAACACAGGTCATCCTCTCCATCTCCATGCTGGTAGTGGGGCCAGTACTTCATCAACTCTTGAAATTTTGCAGCATACTCCCCTACAGTCATACTCCGTTGTCTTAGTTCGAGGAACTCCCTGGCTTTCTGCTTCTTCAGGTCTCAGGAAAAGTAGTTCCCCAAGAAGATGGTCTTGAATGCTTCCCACTGTATATAGCCATCTTCTTGTGGTAAGGTCTGACCAGCAAACCTCCACTAATCTTCAGCCTCCCCACATAGCAAGTAGGTGGCATAGGGGACTTTGTGCTCCTCACGGCACCCCACAGCGTTGAAAACCTTCTCTACATCAGCTACCCACCTCTGGGCTCCTTCAGGGTTAAACCCTCCCTCAAACTTTGGGGGATCATGCCTAGTAAAGGTAGGTAACCCTTTGTACTCCGTTGGTTCTCCACTTTGGTTGTGCACCAAGGCCTCCAACATTTGAGCTATGCGCTCCATAGGATCCTCGGTGTTCCTAGCTCCTCTACCTCTACCTCTACTAGCCATGCTTTATCTAAGCTTATCACAAATTAGCTAACAACATTCCAATTCATCAGATCAATTATAACATTTATAATTCAGGTAAACAAAACAATCAATACTTATCTCGGACGCTTCAGCCCGTTATCCCAGTCCGGTTGGATGAACTGCTCTAATACCAAATTGTAACACCTTAATTTTAAATTTTTGAATAAATATGTTTTTGCAAGGTTCAGAGTAGTAAAAATTTTCCATTCAAATAATTGTTCAAGCACAATTTCATAAAACATTTTAAATAAGAAATTAGAGTACAACATGTACGGTATTGAGCCCCCAAACAAAGGTGTTAGTCAGAGGCCGAGTCAGGAGGAGAGTGTGTGGCTTGTGGTACACCCACGCTCATTGTTGGTGTCACCACCACCCTCTCGTCCCCAAGGTATTACTACCACCCCCATCTTCCACACCCCCAATGTATCTCTGAACCATTCATAGTTTTCACATCTAAACACATCGCAATCACATCCAAACATACCATCACACTCATTTTCAACCATTCAAGTTATTCAATCATTCACCCATAGCATGCCAACACAAATGTACAATCACATTTTACTCAACATTAATCACATTCTCATTTCTATCACATGTAACATGGGTTTCTCATACAATGCCTACTATATTCAACTTATCACACAATTCACACAATGTACCGGAGGTTGGACACCTCCGGATTCAGCCCAACTCGTACAGTCCATCAAGATACATAACCTCACCTCCTATTTGTATCACATTACCATATTCATTCAAATAAACTTATTTCGAACAAAGGTAACTAGAGTAAAGTCCTCCCCTTACCTCAAAACGAAGGTCTGCCACAAAACGTTGATGGAATCGCCTTCCCACATGGATTTCGTTCCTAAAGCACACAAAAATCCCGAGGAAACTTAGGAGGAACTTCAGAAAATGAAGGAAAGGGATGAAAATCGAAACCCTAACCATAGAACTTACCTCCAAAGACTCCAAACGTATTTCCAACCTTCAATCAAGCTCTCAAACGTCCTTAGAGGGCTTTTAATCGGTAGGAATGAGTTTGGGTAGAGAGAATCGTGAAGGAGAGAGAGAGGGAAATCGTGAAAAATAACCCTCTCCTCAAACCCTAACCCTTCAAAAACTCCTCTAGTCGCTACACTCTCGCTACAACGACTCTTCTTGCTGCAGCGACGCCCTCTGTCGCTCCAACAAAAAACTCAGACAAATCTGCACTCTGGTTTCTGCAAAATCTCGCTACAGCGAGACCCTCTCGCTATAGCGAGATTACACCCAGAAATGCACCCTAAACTGTCGCTCTGTCGCTACAGCGAGAAGGCGACAGTCACATACCTTCCTCCCAGAGACCTCTCGCTATAGTGAGAATGCCCTGCACCAAGACTTAACCTATTTCTTTCAATCCAAATTCCAATCATGCACACGTATACATACATTTATGTATATCTGTATTCACACACACATTCCCATCAAACTAATGCACATCTGTACATCCATATCACCATCAAGTCAATCATCATACCACAAAATAGTATATATATATATATATATATATATATATATATATTCAAACAATATTACATTTTCAGGGCATTACAACGACTGGAGAGAAGGGCGTAGATCTCTGAACCTGATTATTGTGTGCTATGGGATTTTTTATGTTCGCGGAGTTTGTAGAATATGCATTTTGTGGAGTTATAAGGGGATGTGCTCTAGAACGGTTTAGGATTGTAATGTGTATATTTTTGATGCATTGATTAATAGATTATTACATAATATATAGATTATGTGTAAAGAAAATTTAGATTTTTTTATTAAGTACATGTAAACAAATGTAAGGAAATATTCATATATTAAGAGATATTTTGCCAAAATTTATATTAAAATTTTGTTGTATTAAGTGTAAACAAATATAAGAAAATATTCATATATTATAGAAGATTCTGTCAAAATTTATATTAGAAATTTGTTGTATTAAGTGTAAACAAATATTAGGAAATATTCATATATTGGGGGAGATTCTGCCAAAATTTACATTAAAAATTTGTGTAATGTGTAATAAAAGGTTGATACAATATTGTGTATTTGTTCTCTAAACATATATTATATTTGATTTAGATATGGCAGGTAAAGGTAGAAAAAGTGTTGCTCAGCGTTCTAATCGTGACAACACTCCTTCACCCACTGCTCCCACTTCCACCTCCACATTAGCTCCAACACCACCAATCTTCAGCTCCATGTGTCATTCCACCTCTGACTCCTCCTCTACTAATGACGATACTTTTTCGGAAGAAGATCACACCGATTATTAGTGATATATAATGTTATTTTAATTTTGGTATTATTTGTTTTAGATGTTTACTTCTTCATTTGTAATGACATTTTAATTTTACATTTTATAAATAATTTCTAATTTAAATATATAATTTTTTAGTTTTTATTATGTTTATAAATTGTGATAATTAGGAACAAGGAGGAACAATTATGTTTATAAAAAAAATAAAACAATTTTAAAAAATTTCATAAATGAATTACAAACGGATTTTTTCGTCTGTAATTACAGACGGATTTTTCATTCTGTAAATTACAGATGCATTTTTTTTGTCTTTAATTACGATGGATTTTTTTGTCTGTAAATTATAGACAAAGTTTTCCGTATTTAATTTACAGACGGATTTGAAAATTCATCTGTAATTATTTACCGACGCGCATATTACAAATGGACTTAACCGTCTGTAAATTCGTCTATATTTACAGATTTTCTAGTAGTGAAGCATTATAAATAAGTACACTAATATGAAATGTAGTAATAACTCTAAAAAATTATAATTTTATATTTTAATTTATTTAAAATCAATTATCATTTTCAAATTAGGAAGATAAGATTTCTATTTTACTCTTATTTATATATATTGTGTTATAATAAATAAGATTTAATGACTTTATTTAAATCCTTCTCAAGACCTCCATGAATTATTATTTTTCAAATAATAAATATTGTGACATTTATTTATTTTATATATGACATGTTTATGTTATTTTTGACAAAAATATAAATTAAATTTAAGTAAATAGAATTTTATTTCATCATTTTTGATAAAATATTTTTTGCAAAATATATGACTCATGCTCCTTTAGTTTCCTTAAATGTCATCAATGATTTCAATGGACTAATGTCTCTCTTATATGTTGGTTAACTACTTCTAAGATGTCCCAACTTTCAATAAGTATTTTTCAATGTCATTTTGTTTCTCATGGTACGTAAGGGATAAATTAAATTATCTATCAACTACTATATCTGAAATAAATACACACTAACATACTTAATATATATAAATAGATAAAGTTATGCTTGTCAAACCTATGTTTTCGTATATGTGTATATATGTATCTTATATGTTTTTCCTTTTAAATTGTTTTGTAAGTGCTAGAATCATATGAATTTTCATGCATTGGAGTATTATTATGAGAGTTGAGCAAATGCTGGATAAAAATTGTGTTGCAATGCAATGTGATTGCCTTGTTTGATACGACTAGTACTGAGAGGGGTTTTTGATTGGGTATTAAGTATTTTATGTGTGTTTTAATGTAAGAGTATGACAAAACCATTTTTGGTGTAAAAACTCTCATTGTTTTGCCTTTATTCTGGGAGAGATGGGAATTTTGGATGCAAGGTTTCTCACTCAAGTGAGGTGTGCCTTACTCAAGTAAGATTGATTCGTGCTTATTTGAGCATTCTAGGGCGATCTCGCTCAAGCGAGACTAGTTTCGCTCAAGTGAGATAAGATAAGACTACCCCAACTGTCCTCTCGCCCAGGTGAGAAGCGACTGCGTAGAAGTGAGATGAGCTCGCTCAGGTGAGAAGTTGCAGGAAAAATGGAGAACTCTTTAGACCCATTCTCACCCAAGCGAGAATAATAGAAAATTGAGTAATTCCATTGTCTAGTTTTCTCGTTCATGCGAGTATAAGCTTGTCCAGCGAAAGTAGAGCTCGCTCAGGCGAGAGTTGGCTCTCTCAAGCGAGAGCGCAGGGACCTAAAGGGGTATTTAAGGGACCTCAGCGCAGAAAACATTTATTTCTCACCAGACAACCTTCCCCTCTCATTTTCTCTCTCTTCTCTCACCTGTTCCCCTCAAAAAAAACCTTCTTGAAGCTAAACTTCTTCCCGATCCAACTATGGATATCTATTCCATCTAGGTCTAGGTGAGCTTCTGGCGCTCAGCTCTCCGCCTTCACTCCTTGGTTCTTGATTTCTTTTCTCAAGAGCTTTCTCTTTTGCAATAATAAGAGGATCTAAGTTTCTTAGGCGTTGTATAACTCTTTGGGACTCATGAGGATTGTGATCTAGAAACTCATTCCAGGTAAAAAGAGCTTACTCTGAATGGCTTTGTTATTCACTTAGATATTATGATAGTTGTATATAAATTTTGTTTTAGCTAAGAAGATGTTGATGTATGGGCAAACCTTAGGGTAGAATACAGAATATGTGTGATGGGGTTCTCTGTTGTTCTGTGAATGGTACAAAAATGTTTATGTCTGAGAAAGG